GCGGGAGAGTGAGAGAGAGAGATGTTGCGGGAGAGTGAGAGAGAGAGATGTTGCGGGAGAGAGAGAGAGAGAGATGTTGCGGGAGAGAGAGAGATGTTGCGGGAGAGCGATCTACTATTTGTGATGCGAGGGGTCAAATTGAAATTTTGTTTTGCTAGTCCGAAATGATGCGACTCGAAATCGATAGCAGAGTGGCGCAACCCTACGAGCAAAATAAAATCACTTTTACCACGAATGGCATATACTATTTTTTTGACAGCCACACTGACTTCTCTTTCATTTTAATTCAAATAGTACACAAATCACTTTTAATTTGACACTATAGTACATTAAGATCAGTTGCAGCTGATCAGACGAAAGTTTTTTTTCTTATTTTTTGTTGCATTCACTGTTTCATCCGAACATTTGGGTATCGTCTTACCTTTAGAACTAGTACTAGAAATTGACACTTAACACGCTGTACATTCTCTAACAGTAACGGCTTTTACTAGGGGCTATCAAGTAATTTACCACGTAAAGGAGCATGAAGTATCCACCTTTGTGATATCAAGGAGCCACGGAACGAGTTTTTGTCTGATAAGACTTTTTGCTGCTGGATAACAATACTTTCTCTACACAAATAATACGTAAGCAGAATACGAGAAAGAAAATTAAAGAGATATATGACTTCTTGTTCCTATTATAAAGAGTATAACACAATTTTAAATCGAGTTGCTCAGTAGGTAATGGATCTCCGTTCAGTAAACCTGCCCTTCTAATGGATGAATACCAGGCTGATTTTTATCGATCGGGTTAGTCCATACCATTTTATGAAATTTTCATAAACAGTAAATTCTGACTCCTAATGTGACGTTTGATGTAACCCAACTATGAACTACATAATCATGAACGTATCTATACACGAACTCTAACGTACACGTATATTTATCAGGTATAATGTAGCCAATCATCGTATCAAACACATTCCCCCTGAATGTGTCAACAATCCTCGAACTGTCCGTGGAATATGTGTATGTGGGTGTTGTAAGTGTGTGCGTGAGTTGTGGGTGCGTGTGTGCGCGCAAAAAAGTAATATTGAATATTTCTCGATAAAACGTTTAAATTTGTAAAGAAATTAATTTAAATAATATTCTAAAACTTCCATTACCTTTCTGTCTCTTGTGATTTGATTCATTTCCTTAATTCGCCACAAATGAACTTGTTAATTATACCGTAATTTTCATGTGGCATATGTATACCATTTAACGCTGCGGCACAGAAACATTCGAAGCTTAAACATTACTATATCACGCAGAGGTATTGACATGTAAGCCTCAAAATCTTAAAGTAAAGTGGAAATTTCACTTACAGAATACATATATGTGACGCTTTTATCCATCCGTGATTGAGTGTCATATGTTTAACAATAACCCGAAAACCACCACGAAGATCCATGCCCTGTTTTAACCGTCCGGGTCTACCGCATATCTTGTTTTTTTTTTTCGCAAGAACTATTACCTTCACAGATTCAACAAAACCGTGTGTACGTTCGTGATACGCGATAGTTTTACCCATTGCTTTTTACCTTTCGAACGCTCTCGATCTACAGTTTTGTTCAACCACTTCGGGGCAGACGGCAACACGCTCTTGCTCGTTCAGGGACAAACGACGCGCACACCGAAGGGATGTTGCCAGATGACCGAAGTGAGAAGAGACGCACAAACCTATACGGGCAAAACGTCTATAAATGTATAGAAGTGGAATGCCGTCTTGATGCCGTATGTGTCTTTTCCATCTATACACGCGTATCCGTATCTAGACGTCAAAGGATTTTCCCGTTCGGAAAACTCCAGTTTTCTGGGAAAATGAGCTGAGATTTGCGCATTTTCAGAAACGCTCAAGCAACATTATCTCAAAAACGTCTCCAATTTGTTCAATGAAAATTTGCGTTGTAAACCAGCTTTTACTCTTCTACGAGAAAATGATGTTTAAGTCGCATTTCAATTCTACTATTAGAAGACTGTGAAATTGAGAAAATGTAAAAAAGTTTCATTTAGACGCTAATAGATCATGACTGGGAAGAAAGTAGGGCAAAACCGAACAGTTAGCCCAGACTAAAGACTCAAGATAAGTAATATGAGATAGTCTGTGCCATTCTATAGCAACTCTAGCTACTTTATCTATTTTCTGACTTACACATATGCCTAACTTGTTCAATAAACGATTTATGTGCATTCGAGTCATTTTACTGTCACATTCACATCAGTCATTTCAGTCATTTGTATTAAAAATAATACAACTTTTCTTCCTACCTGGAAGTTAAGTTGGAAAAATTCTTTATTGGAGGACTCTCTGACTTAATTGAAATACATGAAATTTCAACCATGATTTGAATTATTGATTGATGTATTAACAAGTAATAATTTTTCCCTAAAGTGCAGAAGAGCGTTAAACTGTCTCTTTCTTTCACAGCGAACATTCCAGTGTGTGATATTAAAGGAATGGCATGTATCAGCGAATATTTGGGTATGTTGTCATCCTAGAAAATGTGTTGCTTGTGTAATACGCGATGTATTAAATTAAATTAAATGTATAAAATTCATTTTCTTTCTCTAGAAATTATCATGTGGCTAAGAAATCGGACCTCAGGGAAATTAATGAACTGCAACTGCTACCCTGCCTGCGACCTATACATGTACCGCCAACTTGACAAAGAAGTTACTCATACGTAAGTACAAACTTTGATGAATTCAAAAAATATGCGTAGATTAACGAAATTGTAAGCCCTTTTGAAGGACTACTTATTTCGTAGTGGACTTTAAAAATATTTTTGTTCTCTATTAGTTAACGAAATAAATGTTACTTCACCTGTAGTCTAATCAAAAGGCAAATGGTGATACTTCGGCACAACATAAACATAGATGTGTTTTCAGGGTTATTTAAGATAATAACAACAATTATTTCATCAAAGCGTACATAAAACAATTAATGTTTCGCCTAACTAGTGTTCAAACATCTCTTTCCAAACACTCACCAAACAGCAACACAGCACACGAGGTTCCTAAACATATCCAGGTCCAAATTTATAAGGAATATCAAGACAAATTGTTGCATACAAAATATTTATTCGTTTATAATACGAACATAATTTATTGCTATCGTAATAAACTGTAAAGCTTCCTCGGTATTAAAAAAGATTATGAGCACTAGCGTCCGTAGTAATTAAAAAAGTTCTTTAGCACAATTAAAATAGAATAAAGAACAAATTCCAGGTACCAAAACAAACTAGTGGTGCTACAGAATGACACAGAATTTCCAGTATTAGTTTTATATTTCATTTGGCTAGCTCTACGAACTTACCACATCTTTCCAGCTACAATCTGTCGACGCCCAAAGTTCACTTTGAAAATTGAAATTTTCGTGTTTCGGTTTCCTAATAATAGACTGGAAATAGTATTATAAGAATATTAAATAACTGTAAACCGTAATGCCGCTTAAGCGCTATAGTACATTCGAAATTTGAAGCACTCTTTCACAGAAATTTTTGAGTTTTCGAAAAACTTCATTTTGAGTCACTTAAAGCACTTAAGCTCACAAATACAATAGTGTTTACAAATTGCTGTAAATGTACATGTTAACGGCGTGAGAGATCTTTCAAAAAATTACATTTGTGTTGTTTTTTGAAAAAACAAAAGAATGTCCCGAAATGAACCTTACGTCATATTAAATAATACAATTAGCACTATCCTTTAGAAACGTTTGAAGAAAAAATTTGGAACCGTTTTTGAGAAAATGTCGTTTGAGCGTTTCGCAACCGACGAGAGAAATAATCTTATAGCTATTAAGGAATCGTTCCGTGATAACTATCTAGCTTTTTTTATATATCTTCCAAACGATAAAATTGACGTAGGACCTACTCGTTTTCACGTAAGATTATTTTTCTTTTTACCTACATTCATCACTGTTGATAATATTTTCCACCGATCAATTCTATGTCTAAAGAAAACAAATTCGTTTCAGCAAACCGTAAAACGGCTGAACTTCTACTACATCATTCATGGGATCTTAAGCACAAGATTTAAGTTATGAGCAGCATAATGCACAAACAATGCATTGTCAACTTGATGCATTTTTTTCTGAACACCATTGTAAATTCCATTTATTACCGCTGTACCACCATATCCTTGACCTCTATGTTTACATAAATCAATGCCTTGATATTTTATGCTCTCGGCAATAACATAATGCAAGCCTTATGCTGATTGATCTTCGACTTTCCTAAACCCTACGAAAGATATTTTTTATGTTAATCGTTTTGCCAGATTCATTTTTATCCATGGTTACAGATCATAATATTTCACTTAATTGTTAAATGTTTGATATGTTTTGCATTGCGGTCATTATAATAGAAAAAGGCCCTTCATTTATTTTTTCTGTGATTTTATCAGACACAGTTGTAGATAAATGACTTTATTTTGTTTTGAATTTGGGGACCTAAATTGAACTGGGCCCCCGGACATAGTCCTGTAGGTCCTTAAGGATCTTACGCCGCTCCTTAAGAATTGTTTTGATATTTATGATACCTTCTTTTGCTTCTCTCTTCATAAATTAATATAATTTACAACGACGTCATGCGTCTGACTGTGAAGGACGTTCTTATGCAACTTGCTCTGAAACAGATGCATTGCAATGATCACAACATGATCACTTATACTTAACTTCACACAAATCGCTTCACTCTGATAAGGAAACGCAACTGAACTTGTACCTCGCGAAGGCGAATAGTTGGTGTCAATGTTTACTCAACTGGCGTAGGATTGTCAAAACGTCGTAGAAAGACACGCGCTCCCCCCTGAACCGATAAGTTTGAGGAATGGACTTTTCCGGCAGCTCTGAGCCCTCGAACTTCAAAGGCCACGCTAAAATAATTCCACGGTAGGTCTGATCTTATTCTAGTGGGGAGGCACATCTCCACCTCTTGCAATGTAATAAGCACTGCACTACGGAAGTAATGGCGAACAGTTGACGCAACTGGAAACAAAATAATCAGTCTTAAGTTAGTTTTACACGTTAAAATTCCCGCCCAGTTTTTTGGACTGGTGGTGGTAGCTGAGGGCATGTCTGCAGTGCCTCGGACTGGGAGGTCTTCGGTTTGAACCCCGACGATGGCAGGATTTTCGACTCTAGCTAGGTTAAATTCAGTCGCGAACTGGAGGAGAATTCTAGTGGCCGAATGTTCTGGTCAAATGTCAGAGCAAAATCCTAACAAGCGGGCCACAGACCACGCGCGATCTTTCCTACCCCTTCCTTGTCCTATTTTCACCCCTTATACTGACTTACACTTGCATGCACTACACTAACACTCAAACAGGGAGACCGTTCGGGAGCTTAGAGTTTATCCCGGCTTGGAAAATGCCCCGCTGGTGGGAGATACCTGGTTGGGGAAAATCCCGCAAGTCGACAGGTAGGTCGCCTCCGGATATCACATCCAACATCACCGCCGCCTTCCGAGGGGAAACACGCACTACATTTACGGACTAATAACTTTGTCAGTTGACGGTTTCGGAATCAGTAATCAATCATTCAATGAATCAAAACCCGGTTTTCTGTACAAAAGATGGACACAAAAATGACGTCTTGGTCACAGTACCATTCCTGACTAAAAATTCGATGAAGAAACGGAAGCGTTTCGATTCGTACACTGTAAAATTTGGAAGAATGTGTTCACGTCTAGTTATACTTTTGCTAAGTTGAAAATCGTTCGGCGCATAGTGTTTACGAGCATTTAGTTCTGCGATTTTTCAAAACTAATACTTTGGACATATGATTAGTGATTAGTAATTTCCGATTTCTGTCCTCCATGGGCCAGTATTGATTTTGGCACCAGAGCACTAACAGCAGAAACCTAAACCACAACCACATGCAGATATGCACATCGGGGTATTTCGAAATGTTAAACACTAAACTAACCTACTTACAAACTCGCTAAAGAACATGGCTTGACGGCGTGAACTATTAAGTTGTGTCGCTAGAGATCTGAAGACTAATATGATTTTGTACTTTAGAAAAGTGTCCATCTAGGCGGAGATTTTTTATTAAAAAAATTATATAGATATTATCTTTTGTAAAGAAGGTTCTCTTTCACATGTTTCAGAGCTTCAACCTATTTTCCACCTCGTTACGATGTATCAACTCGAATCTACAAAAGGACCAGGATCAAGAGAGATGTTCTATTTTCTATTATTGATCTGGCCGGTAAGAATGATTTAAGTTATTTACGGATGTATTTATATTTTATGTAATTACATTTATATTTTACCTTATGTGTATGAAATTATGTAATCTCGAAGTAAACACGGTATGTTATCGTACTTCCTTGAAGATAAAGTTCGGAAGAAATGGAAAATATCATTAGAGTATTAACTGTCATAATTATTTATACCTGTATACCTATATACAGCGCAATCAATATAAAGCTGAATCAGTTTAACGACTCATAACGTTTCGACCAATAATAGGACACATGTGCAATTTTCCGAGATGATAATACACAATTGGGAGTTACATACACAAATAAAATGCACATATAAGATAAAGTCCGGTGATCTGGAAGCCTACACATTGTTTGAGATAATTCGGTCAGGAAGGAGGCTGGTTTCAATAACTTGTTGGGAGATTACTCACAGCAAGTGTTGGAAGTGCCCTCCACCGGCATACAAAAACAACCGTAGTCATTTCGCCATATTCCGCCGGGTTCTGTAAAGAGTATCCTCGCCAATGTCACTTATTTCGTGTGTAATAGCTTCTCGCAGTTCAGCAGTAGTCTGTATGGTCGCAATTTCGATTGCTTCGCAGCTTTTCTGACATATGCCGCATGAATTGCCTGGCTCCTGGCTCAATGGACGCAACGATTTCTTTGGAGAATTCTCCAAGCGTCTTTGAACATTATCAATAGTCGCTGCACTCAATGATGGTCTATTTGTACCTGTTTCTCGGTTTAGAAGACCAGTTGTCTCCGGCTTCCTAAGAATCGAAAAAATTGTTACTTTAGTTCAAAAATCGCGAACATTGAATCTTCTTCGGATCGTCCGTTGTGCGGTAACCAATGGATTCTCTCATTCAACATGTGTTCGAAATAAAAAATCGCTTTCAAAGTGTGTATTGCACGTTCCTGTTACGAACTTCACACTCACTCGCTTCGCACTCACTCGCTTCGTACTCACTCGCTTCGCACTCGCTCGCTTCGCACTCACTCGCTTCGCACTCACTCGCTTCGCACTCACTCGCTTCGCACTCACTCACTCGCTTCGCACTCACTCACTCGCTTCGCACTCACTCACTCGCTTCGCACTCACTCGCTCGCTCGCTTCGCACTCACTCACTCGCTCGCTCGCTTCGCACTCACTCGCTCGCTTCGCACTCACTCGCTCGCTTCGCACTCACTCACTCGCTCGCTTGCTTCGCACTCGCTCGCTTGCTTCGCACTCGCTCACTCGCTTCGCACTCGCTCACTCGCTTCGCACCCACCCACTCACTCACGCACTCACTCGCTTCGCACGCACTGACTCACTCACTCACGCACTCACTCGCTTCGCTCGCACTCACTCGCTTCGCCCGCACTCACTCGCTTCGCACTCACTCGCTTCACAAAGCGCGCCCACGAGGCTGCCACGGACGAACTTAAGCGAACAAAGCTCGGCGTTACGCTGGGCAGAGCAGCGCATGCGCAGAAACATCAACAAACTTGCTGACAATGGACATTGGTAATAATTCTCCCATATCCACTGAGATCATGAAAACAATTTTCCCCTTTCAGAGAGAAATTATGACTCATTAAAATGGTCCAGGTTTATATGGATCGCCCTGTGGTATTACCTGTATCTAAAACAAACAACTATTAAATCTATTTAATTAAGAATGGTTCAAAAATGTTAGGAAGAAATAGAAAATATTGTTAGTGGATTAATAATTGCCAAAATTATTTATATTACATATACGTAAAATTGGATCTAATTAAGGATATTTCGAGATATTTTGCCTAATACTAAACTATACCAATATGTTACACGCCAACAAAATTGTCAAATTTCAAGAAATTAATAAAAATCTTTAATCCTAAAAATAATTAAGTATTTGCTAGAAATATTTTTAATGTTATGTTTTAATGACCTTTCGCCAGAGTTTTGTCGTTTACCAGATTGTATTATGCTTGTTGTATTATAGTGATGAGAAGTATTTTAAATCGTTTTGGGTAACCATGTAGCGAAATGTTGGTAAAGGGTGAAGACGAAAAAGAAATTACATCTTACGAAGAAAGTTGGGAGTTATATTTTAAGGACTCAATAAGGGTCGGGTTTCGTTTTTGTGTACAGGTCAATATTTAGAAAGCAAACTCACCCAGGAATTTGTTGTGTGTATAACCGAAACCCAGTGCTCGAGGTACAATTCAGGACAAATCACTAATTAAGCAGTTCAGTATGGGTTTGTTACGTGAAACTCGTATTAATTACAGACCATATGTTTTAAAAGTGAACCGCAAAATAGTCAGTTTAATTTTTAAATACTTTCTTATATTTTTTAAACCTGTAAGTTGATGAAACTTTTAAAGATACTGTGATTGAAGTTGGTGATTTCGTGACCAATAAGAAAGTTTAAAACTTCAGACGTCTTTTTTAGGCAGCCGAAGTTATATTCTAGGAGTAAGTCGATTGCAATTCATGCGTCAGGGTCAAAGTCATAAATATATTTCGAAAATCGTATAAAAATGTAGTATGCAAATAAAATTATAAAAAATATTACATACAATACATATAACAATATTTATTTGTATGATAATGGTATTAAAGGTAATAGTGTTAACTTGTTACACATGTCAGTTTCAAATATTTATTGCTGGTTTCTTGCTTTAAGTTACTAATTAAAATTAGAAATCGAATTGAAACACATATTATTTATAAATAAAGAAATAAATACATGTTATTATTTGTGGTGATATATGTATGCTTTGGTAAAAGGGTGGTAATTTTTTTTATTCAGAAGAACAAGTATTATTTTAAATTGTTCATAACATCTTGAACTATCTTAGAGAATCTTGAACGAATCTTGAACTATACTCGTGACCACCCTGGCGGCCGTCTACTCTCCAAGCAATGGAAACTCTTTAACCTGATGTGACATATCATTGCCATTCTTAAAATTTTCTTCTTTTTTTTACTAAAGAAGAATATATTGAGTGAAGTAAAATATAACGATATCAATAAAGTTGCTTGGTCCACTTTAGTTGTCTAAAGTCAAACATTACAAACCGTAAAAAGAGAGTTGTAATAAGTTATAACACAAGTGTTCTAATAATCAATAGCCCACCATTAATAATAATTAACATTAACAATAATTAACATTTATTATATATATTAACTCTTATGAGTTTTACGATGTCATACAAACCTCTACAGAAACACACATGCACACACTAACGCAAACACGCACACTCTAACAAACACGCATTCACTGACACACACGCACACACGCATACTCTTAATCGAACAGTCTAGTTAGAAGCATAGAACTTGTCCCGTCTGAGTCGCAGTCCTGATGGCTGAGATATCTGAAGAGGGTAACCGCGCAAGGCGACTTGTAGGTCGGTGCCGGAACTTACATTACTTCGGGAAGCGCCACCTCGTGGGAAATAACATGCACACACTAACGAAAATAATAACCATATCAGATGGCGCACCCGGAAATACGAAATAATCAATCAATCGATCCTGAATACCCCAGTGAGCAGTACGTATTCCGTGTGTTTCAGTGTCCTTCGGCGGCGCAGTTGGCCTGTTCCTCGGTGTGAGTGTACTAAGTGTGTTGGAAATCATCTACTATTTTACATTGCGTCTGTTCTTCCATCCACAAAGGCGAAACTTTATAAATATCTAATACGTAATAGTACCTAAGCCGTTATCTTGATACCAGTGTTGGATCCAAGGGATATGGGAGGTGGAGGCCATCCCCCCTATTTTCTTTTCTTATAGAAGAAAATTATAAGAAGAAAGTTGGGTCTGAACGACTTATTCAAAACAATTATTGTGTGTTGATTGCGTCACATCGATGAGAGTATTCCAATAATGTTTTTCTAAATTTATTTCAGGCTAATTATTTTCATTTTTTAATTTCAAAACTGTTTAAAAGGGGCGAAGTGCAAATACTTTCAAGACCACCTTCTGTGGAACCTTCTATAAATGTTCTCCTTGTTGATAAACACTTTAAAATTTGTGCAAGAGATTGTGGATGCTCAAAATAAATTTACTATCTGGGGAGCGAAATGCAATTTTTTCCCCTTACAGAACATTTTTTTAAATGGTACAAGAAAATGAAATCGGTATTGTAGGTACAGTACATATTGTATGCATAATTAATATATGCATATTTTTTGTTATAATTCATTTATTTAATATTTTTGTAATGTTCTAAGTTATACAGAAATTTATTATATGTGCTTAAATTATACAGGTGTAAATTATTTATATCATCATTGATCTACACTTAGAATCTGAAATGTCGATTCTGAAATTAAAGATGTCTCCTCGTACATCAGGCATATTTATAAACTCATTTCGTCTTCTTTCGTAGCTAACAAACTTATTTCAAGTTTCTAATAGTAATTGTTAATAAGCTTCATTTTGCTTTCATGTTAATGTAAAAGAAAAAGTATTTTTTGAAGAAAATATACCATGAATCTGTTCATCAATTTAGACACATGACAACAGAGGCGGATTAAGGGGGTGGACAAGAGGGGGCAACCACCGCCCCCTCCCATGTAGGGTACAAAATGTATAAAAATATTTTTAGTCATTTCATTTTGCCGATCTTCAAATTTATATTATAAAATATTTACTTTTTTCTGTATTTGCAGAAGACATTTAATAATTAGAGATCGGATTTTCGGGCAGTAAAAGTCTCTAAAACGTGCAATGAATAAGAGCAATAAAATATCCAGTTAATCTACTTAACAACTTATTTTACATTTCAGAAATGAATTTAAGGGAAATGAAATATGATTTTATTGTTTTTATTATAAGTAAGTTTTTACATATTGTTTAAACAAATTATATTTGATATTTTAAATACGTTTTGCTTTTGACATGTTCACTGTGTCTGTGTGCCAAGCCTCATTTTGACGTACGTACGCACGTAGCTAAAAGCTCTCAAAAACTGCGTTAATTGGTCTCGTATCCCTCGTAGCTCGTAGAACAGTTCCGAGT